ATACTCGAAGAATTGCAAGAAGAAATATATAGATTATTCGAAGATTTATATTAAAAATACACTTATATTAAAAATAGGAAGCTCGACGTACGAGAAACTATTTCCTTTATGTTACAGTAATTTAAAAACTGCAAATTACATCATTCATTAAATGCCAAGAGGTTAAGTAATGCTTGTACGAAGACAAGCATTTCGTTGTGCATCCCTCTAGCGGTCAACGCAGCGAATCACGTGAAAATCTAAAACCCAATACTTCCCACATTTCGACACATACCGACCAACCAACAAAGAAAAGTACACGCGTCTCTGTGAAATCCTTCCTCCTTTCGAATCTCGAAAACTTTCCCTCGACTCTTATTTTTATACCATAGATACATTGAATAGGGAAGGGTGAACTGACATTGTCCGCGTGAACTCGTGGTACACCTTGATGTAGCTGTTCAAAGATACTTTCGTCGCTGAGATCTTATCTCGAGCGTGTTACCTATGGTTTCCACGAGCGGCGTCCATATATGCAAAGTACGAATCGCACATTCTATTTGTTCACCGTCGTGTGCACGTGTGTACGTGTGTGTGTGTGTGCGTGCACATGTGTATGCGTGTCGATTCTCTCCTCGAGGCTCGACTGTAGGGACCGTTAGAAGTCGATAACGATATTCAAGCAGTTTTAAAGGAGGTCTGGCCCCACGTTGCGTGCAGATCGTGTCCATTTTACGAGGCGCGAACGACAGTCTTTCATTGCCGATCGGCCATCACACGGACAACGCCTCGCATGTTCCCGACAGGGAGGCTAAGCAGCGTTAAAGCACTCGTGATTTTCAAATTCTCATCTCTGTACTGTGTACACAGCGGGACATATACTTGTCTCGAGGCGCATTGACGATGGTGAACACGCTTGGCCAGCCTCGTGACTTTTAGTATGCGACCAAGTTCAAGTCGTAAATCGCTTGATATTTCTGTTTAAATGCGCATTATACTCGTGTACGCGTTCGCTGTTTACATTTCTCTATTTGTAAATCGTTAAACGGAAGGTGGTGCCTTCTGTGGACGAGTGGGATGCAAGCGATGCCGTGATTTTATGTAATTAGAAACTTGCATCGTGTACTTGAGAATAGTTGTGAAATATAGATGGGTATAATGGAGGGATCTGTGATAGTAAAAGTTGTTACAAGTTTAATCGTTTCGTTTAGATATAATGATAGTAAGGGAATGTTTCTTTTAATTTTCACGTTGTTGGTAACGCTGAAGAATAAGAAAATGTATCAAAATTAATAATACAATATTGACAAATGCACAATCTTTGATTGAAGTCGCATTAGGCTCACTTTTATCACGTATCTCTCAATTGATGATATCACAAAAAAATAAATTTTTCATTTTCGTGATCCGCAATCACGAGAATTAATTAACCGGTTCTGAAGCAATTATTTGTCACGGCAGTTGTCGAGCGATCGAGATTGCTTTCGTGATATTACGAATAACTAACTGGCCGGACAAATCATTATTTTCGTCGGCGAGCTTTTACCCGTGGCCGTAGGAAATTCTCGATTAAAATTATCCGTTTCGCTTCGAGTCGGCAAAAGATAGTATTGCAAAAAGGACGCGCGACAGAGGGCGGCACATGTGCATACAATAGTATCGGCTTATGATTCGATCTATCTTGCTACCATCGAACGTGAAAACTTGGAAGTCATTTCTGCCACCATTCCGCATGGCTGCCCATAGCTATGCCACCACTACTATTACCCGATCGAGCATTTGGCTCGCAGTTGCCGAGAGACGAATCCATCTTGAAAATTCTCGAAGAAACTGAAATCGATTTTAAGAAAAATCTGACCCGTTAAGACTATAGATCAGTATTCGCGTTGTTGGATTAACTTTCTAGGTTAGGTTATCCAATATGTATTTTATTCGTTGTTTATTTCAGAGATTATTTACTTTTCAATAAATTCAAGAAAGTAAAAAAGTATCCTAAGATATCTGTCTCAATTAACTATAAAATATCAAATATGAGATATATGAGATATATTTTTCATACAAGTGTAGTAAATTCAAGTAAAAAGAAATGGTCGCTATTAATCCATTTCACGAACATTTTACACGACTTTTAAATTTCCTTCTGTACGCAGAATGACTCGGTGTTTCTCTCGATTATTGACTCGACTGAATGTTCGAGCGGCAATTGGAACGACTATCGAAGCAGGTAATGACTGGATGCACCTAACTACCGTGATACCATCACCACGATCTTTTTTTTTACACGGTGGCGCATCACGTTTCTGACACGTCAATTCAGATCTCGGTTAACGGATGGCAATTTAGAGTCCGCGCAACCATTCACGCGACGGTATTCTAAATATTTGGTGATTTATGCCTTACGTTTCTATACGTCCGAAGAAATAAAATAAAAAAAAAAAAAAAAAAAAAGGAGAACGCTTCGGTCGAGAGATTCTAAACGAGGATGCTGATGATGATGCCACGTGGTCTACTTGCGATGAAGATTTCTAACGAGTCATGTCGATGATTAATCGATTCTGGCCGGCATTCTTGTAACGAGCGGCCTCGTACGACGGGAAAAGTACGAATGAAAAATGCCTGAATCGAGCGTTATTTATTATCGCTATTACGGATTCTTGCGGGTTACAGCCTCGCGAACTGAATTTCACCGTCTTCCGGATAATAGAGTTTTTGCTTCTAAGTTCAATGCCAATCTGGTGGTTCAATTTTATTTTCCCGATATTTTATTTTGTTGATTTAGTAAGCTGCAATTTCATGCTTGAGATTCGTTGAACGTTAACTGTGTAATTTGATAAATTCTTGGAATAATTTTCAAGAAAAATTGGAAAATATGGATGCGATGGACGGAGAGTAACAGGTTATCGTACAATTATTAGCGATGAAGATGAAAGTTTTTATAATTTGAAATAATAGTTTGAAATAATTTTTAAAAAAATTGTAAAATGAATTTGGATCGAAGAAACAAAAAACGATTTCTGTCGAAGATGAAATTAAAATAATTAGCTGTTTCATTTTAGAATGTGCTATTAAAACGGAAATTAAAGTGTTTTTCATTGTAGAATTTCGATTAATTGTCGGAGATTAATCAATTAAATTGGTGTACAAGGCTTGTCGACATTCGAAGGTACATTCGAGAATTTCTACGTCCACCTAGCTGAATTACATTACGCATTGCGTATCAGGAAACGATATCGAATCAGTACAGTATCTTTATTTGTATAGATCCGATAAATCAATTACTTGTATCGCCGTGACGATAATTTACAATCTCTCTTTCTCTCTCTCTCTCTTTTGCTTTCATTGCTCAAGCTTTACGCTGTAAATCGCGTTTGCTGTATATTTTACTATTTCCATGGTATCAGCAGTGGAGTCAAAGATGTTTTACGACTTTAATCAGTATCGTGGCACAATCAACACCTATATTCTATATCATGTCTTTCTATAAATATATGTTTCTCCATTTTGTGAGATATAAAGACCAGCTCTTTGCATTTGAATTTCCTCCGCGAAATTTTTGTTTTACCCCCTTCAAATTATCAAGTGTTGGCGTTAAATTATTAATTTAATAATTTGTTCATAGAATAATTGTAACGGTAAAGATATGAGAGCATTATTATTTCTTATTCCTTTTCGAATAAATAAAATTTATTTCGATGTTTTAAAAATAATTTCAATCGAAAAGGAAATATATTATTAATTATTTAATTTTTAATTTAAATAATACTTCAAGGATGAAGTTAAAAGTTTTACATTATCGGTTCGTAAAATTCACCTTTGTTTCGTTATCATTTATCAGCTTGAGTAGAACGAGATTTTAATGCTCATTTTATGGTACCATTAAATTCATCAGCTTTATCTTTTGCGTAGGTTCAATAATGAGCATAAAAATAAACAGAAAAGTTTCGTCCATACATTTAGATCATATAGATCAAGAAATAAAATCTAGTTTAAATGCAAAAATGATATCTACAGTTCCACTTATAGAAAAAATTTATTCAAACAAATTTCCTTTAAAATAAAAAATAATTCAACATAACAATTTTTAATAAAAAATTCATTCATAATTCATCCCAAAATGAATAAAATTTACAAAAAACTAATTCAACGTCAACATGAATAAATTACGTTTATTTATAAATATGAGTTGAATCGAGTCACATTTATTACTCATTGGAAAAGATTAGTTCTTTAAAAAAAAATCATATCGCAATCTGAATTTCCTGTCGGTAACCTAAATAATTCACCCACATTTCCACCAGATGTCAACTATCCACCCAACGATACCCAATCATCATTCTTCCCCTAACAAAAAAAAATCGATTCAGCTCGCAAAAAATCGTATCGATCCAACCATTCGATTCTCCTAATCTAACAAATCACGTTAATCTAATATTTCTTCCGCGCGTATTCATAACTCAGCCAGAGCGAAATCCACGGAAGTGGCCTCGTTCGACAGGTTACGGCAGATTCATGAATCATCGCTATTCTGACAGTAGTTCAAATAATCGGGCTCGCGCCGAAATAATTTCGCCACGGTTCGGCAATCTTCGTGCGTTTCCGTTTCCGTGAGCATCACCGCCTAATCTTCGTTCCTTGGATCGACGCACACACGCGTCCTCTATCACCATTCCTCTCTCTCTCTCTTTCTCTCTATTTCTTTCTCTCTCTTTCCCACGTTCTAAAATTAAAACTGTAGCTCGATCAAACAAACGGCCGACACGATTCCATTTGCTCTTCGCTATATTATAGACGGGCGTTCACGCGTCCACCAAACGATTCCATTAACTCGCCTAATCGAATCGTAATTGCCGCCCGGCGAAACACACGGCGTGTGTGCTCGGGCCGGAATCAAATCGAGCGTCGGCCGACTCGGAAGAGTTCGTCAAGTTTCGTATGAGCGGCACATCGTGTGCTCGTTTGACCTGTACGTCGAACACGCTCGACGCTGCAGTACGCGCGACAGAATCGCTTTGTTTACACCGCGGCGCGAGAACCAGCGGCTCAATAAATCCTATAAGCGACGCATAGGCGTTCTTTACGATCGGATACTGACCGTGACCGGTCTTGAACGATCGGTCGTTCTGAAACGCTGTCAATTTCCGATTATACATGTACGCACAGTGAGCTATCATGAACCTTTTCATTCCGTCGCTTCTTGAATAGAATATCCACCTGGATATAATCGGCGAATAATTTTCGATCTTGATTTTCGCACAATGAAGGTTTTTTTTTTTTAATGTTTTTTGTTTTGCAGTCGACGAGAAACTGGAAACGAGAGTGAGGAGTACTCGTAAAAGTGAGGAAGAATTCGAAATTTGTGCACGAGGATCTCGATAAAAATTGTTCCTGTACTACAATTGAAAGAGATGAATGATATTCTTTGTGTACAGCCGACGGGTAATCTAATTCCCGGTGATAGTGACGTTACTTCTTATCTACGTTTAATCTATGATCAAACCAACTTTCTATGAACACTCGACGGAGAAGGAACGTTCGCAAAACTCACGAAACTCACGAATCTCTGGAAAATTACTTATCCAAATCGAAAAAATCGAACAAAACTAAACTAAACTCCCAACCCATCGAGAGTTCAACGATGCATCTGCGGCACGATGCATCGAGCGTGAAAGAGTCCCAGTTCGTTCGCACGTGCAGTTAACGTGTCGCGGTCACATTGGTCCGGAAGCGTGCGTGCGGTATGTGCGTACGATTGAAGGAAACGTTGAACGTATTCGCGGCACTCCGATTCCGGCGTTCGGTTGTGCTCGTACGGCTTCGTTTGCATAGAAGTGCGTGCGTAACCTACGCCGGAGGCCACGTAAGGTAGTGTACGCGGCATTCGGATCGTCCCGTCGCTTTGTTTACGCTCGTATCGGGCCGATGATCGAGCATCGTGTACACACCGCTTCTTATCCACCGCTGCGTTATCCACCTTCGAAATGGCGCGTGTCGCGTGACGAGAGCCTCCTCAGTCGGTTTTCGCGCGTGCAACGCTTCCGATCGGACCGTCAGACGCGTGTCGACGATCGTCGCCGTCGCCGTCGTCGCCTCCTGTCCGTTCTCATCCGATCATCCGACGGGGAAGAGCTGCGCTCACGTGCGCCTCTGTTCCATCACGGTGCGTGTGCGGGCGCGTGTGTGTGTGTGTGCACGTGTATGTGTGCTCGTTGTGTCGCGTCGGTGGTCGTGGCACACGTGTGCCTCGTTGTCGGTTACGCGAATCCAACCTCATTGTGTGCGTTCGTCGTGAGAGTTTGCCGCGTGTGACCTGTTCCGTGACTAGGAAAATGAGACGATCCAGTGGTAACGCGTTCTGAGGATCATCGAGGAGGAGCGGCAACGGGCAACCAGCCTCGCATCGATCCGGTGAGTCGTCGATTGTCCTCTTTCTCCCGATTGTCTTTTGCTACATACAATACAGCCGTTATTTTTATTACAGCTCGAAATTGTTGCTGTAACTTTCTTTTCAATCGATATATACGTATCTTCGAGTATTTTAAAAATGGATATTCGAAAATACGCCTATCATTCAATTTTCTTGGAATATTTTAGTAAAAGGAGAGGGACACGGCGTGAAAGAGAATGAAAACAAGAAAAAAAGGAAAACAAGAGCGCGTCACAGCAGGGTTAAGGTCTATCTAGTTTGGTTTGGTTTTCGCGTTTCCTGGAATTATCCTCGACCCGGCTCGATTGTTTTGGAGCGTGAAAGGTGCGCAGCGGCCTTCGACTGCTCGTTGGATATCTGTGTCAGGTCGGCGGAAATTCTTATTTGCGTTGTTGGCCAAGGAATGTCGTACTTTCCCGGGCAACCCGTGCGTTTTCGATTTTACTCCCTCTCCCTCCCTTTTTCCCCCCTTTCCACCGTCAAACGTTTGCCTTTTGTGCGTCGCCTCGCGCGAATGGCGACCACGTGTTTACTCGACTCGCTCGATGATCATCGCCACGTTTGGAGACTGTGTACAGTGTAGGCGAATTAGAAGGGGGCACGAGAGGGATCTCGATCGGTTTTTGTCCTCGATACGTACGCGCATCGACGAGAATCAGGATCGTCGTTATTTTATGTAACTTGTGCTGTAAGGTTATATGGAGAGATAGAGTAGGCTGGCAGCGGAAGTACAGGCTGCTGATAGCGGAACCCGAGGTGAATATGGAGTTGTTCGTGTGTACATTCCGATGGAAAAGTTATCTCGGTGTCGCGATATATTCGCGTGTTTTTTTTGAATTGCGATTTTTTTTCCTTTTTCTTTTTCGACATTGAGAATATCTTGGAATATCTTATCTTTAAAATAACGCAAATAATCAAAGTCATTTTTTTTTTTTTTTTTTACAGATTTGATTAATAATTAATTCAAGGGAAATTCTGTACAGTAATTAAAGAAAATATTTGCGCAACGTTATATTTATCAAAGAGGTGTATTTTGTATTGTTTATACGATGTGATGATAATTTGTCGAAAATGAAATGTATGTAGAATCTGGTAAATAGAACGGGTTTATTGAAAAATAAGCTGGCCTTAAAATATCGTGTCATAAAGATAGAAATCTAGAACAAGTTGTAAATTTGTTAAAATTAACCAAGTTGCAAAATGCTTGTATTTCTCGTAATTTACGCGATCCTCGTGAAAGGAAACAAATCAAAATCAAAATAATTCAATATCATCGGCTATTTTTAAAATTTATTTATTATCACACTCTAAGAATCACAAGCGTCTACCGTTGGAAGATTGCAGAAAGATCTCCGCACAAAGCATTTTACTATGTTTAAAAGTTTGCATCTTCAACAACATAATTCACTAAAACCTGATCATCAATCCCCTATAATTCACCGTAGCAAACTTTTCAATCTGAACAATATTATTATAAGTTGTCCATCACGGATCCATTTAATCCTTCACATTTAGCATCGAAAATCTCATATAAACTTTAAAAGATTAATCTAACGATCGGATCAAGCACCACTCGAGGCCTCCTCTTGATTTATTCCTAGACTCGAAATCTTAACCGAGGCCTTAATTTTATTCGAAACGTAAATATAAAAAGAACGATATATATTTTAAATTTCGCACAAATACCCGCAATCCAACCGAAAACAAGATACATCGAAGTTTAACGATCCAACAGTTATTAAGGCTTAAGGAAAAGAAAAAAGAAAGACTATTTTTCCCTTTTTCGCACAGAATTAACCCCTTATACCGCAAGGATAGCTATCATTCGCAATCTGCGGGGCGATTCGATTCTCGAGGCCGATCCCTTAACGATCCGATTCTCGTTCGGATCGGACGATCGCCGAGATTTTCCACCAAGCATCGATACCCTTTCTCGCTCGATTCCCGGAGAGGCGTAAAATCTAGACCGATTCTCTATCTATTCCAGAGGTGTATCGCGGAGAGAGAGAAAGAGAGATAAGATAGCGGATTGCCTCGGTTATCGACTCGGTTACACTTAGTTCACCTGCGTCCTAGGCGCTCTTATCTCGCCGTTTTATCGGTGACCCCTGGCTCCGTGCACGGAGCCAAGATATCGGTCGGAAACGTCCTGGGGCCCCTGCCGCGATACCCGTCGCTATAATGTCTACATCGGAATGGTGAACAACACCAGGGACGACCCACCTACCTTCCAGCGTCCGCTCGTTCCAATTTCCAGGATTGGCTCTCTCTCTGTCCTCGTCCGTCCCTCTTTCGCCTACCTTCTCGCCACTCGGTCTTATTCGCATTCCCCGCCATGCAGATCTTACCTTTCCACCGGTGTGCGTTCCTCTGCTCGCCACCCCGAGCCAACAGTCGCCTCTCTCTCTCTCTCTCTCTCCTTCTCTCGTTCCATCGAAGATGCGATCTTGTCCACCGACGACCACGCCTTCACGGTGTACACGGAGCGTGCAGAGAGAGCGTGCGTCGATCTCGTTTCGAGAGGAGACCGGCGTGTGTCGTTCCTTCTTATTTCACCCGGGGACGAGAGAAGCGGGGGGAGGGGAAAGAAGAAGAAGAAGAAGAAAGGAAAAAAAAGAGGAGAGGAAGGAAGAAGAAGAGAGAGGGAGAGAGAGAGAGAGAGAGCGTATCGAGCACGACACGGGTGTATAAACCTGAAGAGCCGCGTGGCGCGAGTTTGATGATGATGATGGTGGTGGTGGTGGTGGTGTTTCGTTGCGGAGAGGTATCGCCCCGGTCGGTCAAGGCGACACTTTTGCAAGGTAAATCTCGTTTCGTCGTGCGGTTCTCTTCTTCTTCTATTTAGTGGACGGACTTCCGTCACCAGGGACGTTCCTCGTCGTGGTTCGACGCGCCGCAAAAAATCGGCTGCGCTCGGCTGGAACGTCATAACCGCGTGCACGGGCTTATACAGGGTGGTATCACTCGCTTTGATATCGCTTTGATTCACGTATGTATCGGAGAAGGATGGAATGAAATTTTTTTCCTTCGAAAAACCAACGAGTGAAAGTAATTCGCATTTCGATACTTTTTTGATATATCAAAAAATCTTCAACGAACCTCGTTCAAGCAAAATCTATCTTTCTTTCATCACCTCTCGTTGAAAAAATGGAATAAATAAGGAATAAAGAAATTCGTGTGAATTTACTTCGATACTTTTTTTTCGCTATTGAAATATCAAAAAATCTTCAACGAACCTCGTTCAAGCAAAACGATCTATCTCCTTTTAATCACCTCTCGTTGAAAAGAATAAATGGAATAAATAAAAAATTCGTATGAATTTACTTCGATACTTTCGCTATTGAAATATCAAAAAATCTTCATCGAACCGTATTCAAACAAAATGATTTTCTTTTCACCACCTCTCGTTGAAAAGATGGAATAAATAAAAAATTCGTGTGAATTTACTTCGATACTTATTTTCGCTATTGAAATATCAAAAAATCTTCAACGAACCTCGTTCAAGCAAAACGATCTATCTCCTTTTAATCACCTCTCGTTGAAAAGAATAAATGGAATAAATAAAAAATTCGTATGAATTTACTTCGATACTTTCGCTATTGAAATATCAAAAAATCTTCATCGAACCGTATTCAAACAAAATGATTTTCTTTTCACCACCTCTCGTTGAAAAGATGGAATAAATAAAAAATTCGTATGAATTTACTTTCGCTATTGAAATATCAAGAAATCTTCATCGAACCGTATTCAACAAACANTATCTCCTTTTAATCACCTCTCGTTGAAAAGAATAAATGGAATAAATAAAAAATTCGTATGAATTTACTTCGATACTTTCGCTATTGAAATATCAAAAAATCTTCATCGAACCGTATTCAAACAAAATGATTTTCTTTTCACCACCTCTCGTTGAAAAGATGGAATAAATAAAAAATTCGTGTGAATTTACTTTCGCTATTGAAATATCAAGAAATCTTCATCGAACCGTATTCAACAAACAAAATGATCTTCTTTTCACCACCTCTCGTTGAAAAGATGGAATAAATAAAAAATTGGTGTGAATTCGCTTCGATATTTCGATGTCGGTTGCGACAGGTGCATCCTCGTAGTTTCAGAGCTGGTGGCTGGCTCCGCGGCAGATCCCGCTCGATTTTATGGCAACATTGATAATTTACGATCACGGCGGATGGAAAAGCCGCGGGACCGTGGTGCAGCAATCTCTTTGCTGCCGTGAGCCAGGAAAGCTTTATCGGCCGTCGCGTCTCTTATCCCGGTGCGTCATTACCTTGATAGCAGCGTGCGTGCAGCTCGAAAAAGAAAGCTTATCGCTTATCCTCTTCCAGGAAATAAGGCGAACACGGCGATACCGCAGGGAAATCGAATCGTATCTCGATGATTGCCTCATACCTGGCGCTAAACCGATCTTCTTTCTCTTTTCTTCCTTCCTCTCGTAACATTTGTTGTTGTTGTTGTTTTTTTTTTTTTTTTTCATTTCGATCTCTCCTCCTCTTTTTCTTTCCTTTTTCTTTTTTTTTTTTCGCGACCAGTTTTCGATATCGCCCGTGTATCGATATCGCGCCGCGTCGCGGAATTCAGAGAAAAGATCGAGGAGCGTGTTTGCGATGCACTCGAGTGTCGCTGATGGCGCGGCGACGATTCCGTTCGCGGGATAGATAAAGTTGGCTCGCGACCTTTCGACCGTGTTGCGAGCGTGATAAAACGTAATCGGTCATCGGGTCGTTGTAGATGAAATCCCGCGATAAGGGAGAAATTTGTCGGGTGATGGAATTAAAGATTGAATTTTGTTTACGACTCGTCGTGGAATTCGTGTTTATCTTTCTTCTTTCTTTATAGTGAAGTTTTTGACAAATTTTTTGAATCTATTCTAGCGATTTCTATCATATTTCATCGGTTTTTGAAACACATTTTCATCACGCGTAAAATCTTCTTCAGCAGTAATAATGTATAATATCGAATTGTA